TGGGCGTAGTTTCATCTTAACTACAGTTACATCTTTTTCTTCAAACAACCTCTTAAGATACGGCTACTTGCTAAATTTAGAAGTTTTAACAGATAATTTACTTTTTATTCGTCGAAACGTTTTGCAATGTACATATCCTCCTTCTCAATTACAAATGTTCTGTCTGTAATTTTCCTCAGATCTTTTCAACATGAAAGCTTGTTAAGTCTTTTTACGAAAATCCCACTGGTAAATTCTTTGCAGATATCTCCGCGATGATGAAAAATCCTCGACAAAATCCGAATCAGATCGACAGATGTACGACAAGGTTCCAAAGAAAGGAAAGGTAGAGCTGGGTGTTTCTGTTGTCGGTGTGAGTGTCTGTGTTGTCTTTGTGCTTTCTAATCTGTCTTTGTGTGTTCTGTTGTTTGTACTGGAGGTGCACTTCTCCTTTTTCTGTCAAACCTGCTTGACTTTTTCTTTCAGTAGATAACGCTTTTGTAGGATTTTTTGGGTCCTGAAGTGGTTTATTTTCAGTTTACTAAGAGTGTTTAGACCTCTGCTGCTTCTGAAGCTGCCGAAGATGGCGTGGGTGTCAACTCCAGATCACTGGTCAGCGTTGTTCTGGTACTTTTCCTTCTTATGTTCGTTGTGCATGCCACATATGTGACGAGCAATGCCTATTCACATCCTTCAGTAGTGCTGCAAAGCTCTAACAGTCATGGGTGAGTTGCCATCTTGTTAACATAGATTTCTAAAAGACACTGTTTAAAAAGTAGGAAAGTCAAATGTTTGAGGGAAATGACTTTGAATTGCATGAGTGTAATTTTCAGTGATCGTATCATCATGGATGACTTCCGTGAGGCTTATCATTGGCTACGCGAAAACACAGCTGATGATGCACGCATCATGTCTTGGTGGGATTATGGATATCAGATTGCTGGTATGGCGAACAGAACGACTCTTGTGGACAACAATACGTGGAACAATTCCCACATTGCTTTGGTAAGCTTTTTAAGTCTTTTATTCAAATATTTCTTACTGTCTATTTATACTTTTGATCAGGTAGGAAAAGCCATGTCTTCCAATGAATCTGCTGCTTATGAAATCATGCATGCACTGGATGTCGATTATGTGCTCGTGATTTTCGGCGGTGTTATTGGGTATTCTGGAGATGATATTAACAAGTTCCTGTGGATGGTTCGTATTGCTGAGGGAGAACATCCGAAAGAGATTAAGGTTTGTTTCATGTTGCTTGTTTCATTCATGTTCAAAGATTTGAAGTAGGCATTCAGATTTCTTGTCTTTAAAATTTTTTGTTGTTGTTGAAATTT